GTATAAAATTACAAAAGAAAATGTTTTTATCCTTTGATATTTTTGGATATTTTGAAGAATAATGTCATTTTTCGATGTTTCTTTTTTTAAATGTCAATTTTGACAGGTTAAGGAAATCACGTGACCTATTTTGTAGACGCCATTTGACATCATTTCTTAAGCAAAATCTACTGTCAAAATCAAATTTCACATAAAACGATAAATAAAAAAGTTTCCCATTTGATGCGGACTTTATCGGTGACACTATATATTATATTTAGCATAATTTGACCATATCACCATAGCATAAATTGACCTCTTTACCTAGCCTGATCGGGTAAAATGGCATATACGAATTCATAAACAGGTAAAGTGGCCTACTTTAAATGAAATATCAAAATTATGTTATTTTAATCCGTGTTAGGAATCACACGTTGAAAGGTAAGACCTCGTTAATTCTTAGCTAGCACTTCTGAGGGTTATCGTTCGTAGGGGTACGACAGCTGGTTAACGGAAAGACATATCCTAAACAGATATTTTTTTAATAAAGATTAATTGAAATTTTGTATTGAAAAAATATTTAACTTAAAAAACAGTTTTCAATTCAAAAAGTATTTTAATTCTACATATTAATTCACAACAATCAACAGTTTTTTATAGTTCTTAATCTAAATATACTTACGTTTACTTATTAACAGCCTGTTATATTATTTGTTAGCTTCTTCTCAATTATTCATTAATAACAAATTAATTCAACTTTTAGTTACTAATCTATAGAATATAAGTAACAACCTCATCATTTGTATTTGTTCATTCATAATCGTACCTAATAGAAATTATTCTTAGGAACAAAATTCACTATGAAAGTTACCATCGTTGTCATCAAAACTCGAGCACGCTTCATGGGCCCGTCGCTTACAACTAGAACACTGTATCCATGTTTTGATTTAGACCAAATTTCGCCACAGTGAAAGCATTCAGAGTCATCATCTGTCTTATCATCGTCGTCAGTATATTTGTCACTTTTCTTTTTAGCNCTTAAAGATGATCACTTGGTGATCGGAACACCTGTCGAGGTGTTAAGATAACGGTTTGGTGTTGGGATAAAACTCCAGTAATATTTAAGCAGTACGTACGAATGGCAAGAAATGGAGGAAAGCTAACTCCGTAGGTAATAATATAGTGTTAAGTATATATTCTTTGCTAGGTAGATCTGAGGAAAATCTCCATAAGATTTTTTGATATTTTCGATGATTATCTGAAGAAAGGATTTGACGATGCATATCTACGAATACGAATGTTTACGAGCGCGACAGGATGCAGTCGAAAGCTAAATCGCTTCGCAGTTTAGGTCCAGTCAGAGATATACAGGGTGTCCCTGGACTTTCTCTTTTCCTCTCGGGAATGTATAGATGGGGTCAAAATATCACCAGTACTTCATATAACTTTTTTTCCTAAAAGTCTTCGTAACCAAGTTACGGGCCCTCGAAGTTACAAAATGAAAAATGTTTTTCTTTGATAACTTTTCAAGTGAATATTCAAAATCATCCAAATTTTGGTAATTGACTAAACAAATG